AGGAATACATGTGCAACTACATGTGAAAGGATTGATTGCGTTTAGTAAATTCCTTATCGAGCTACACCAGAGCATAACAATTTTGCACCAACAATGATTTTAAACAATGAAAGTGTCCATAAATTTGTGCAAATGGGAACATACGAATTCATCTATTATGAAATGCGGAAGGTTCCATCGCGCTCAGTAATTTCCTCACCGAGTTACATCATATAATAGGAATTTTGCGATGACAATAGTTATAAGCAATACAGAAATCCATAAATTTTTGCATCTGTGATCATTGCGAAAACCTCTCCGGCAGTAAAATGTAAGGGGTTTCATCGATTTCATCGATTTCAGACCAAACATACGTGAAATAGTACGCTTTTTGTGATAAAAAGTGATATAAATTGGTAAAAAATAAGACAAGTACAAATGTTTTGTTATGGGACAAATAGCAAATGCTATTCCAGATGCAAGAAGTTTCAATCTGATTGGTCCGTCCGTCTCGGAGTAAGAAGCAAGACAACATTTTTCTATTTAAAAAAAAAAAACGGTTAAAAAATGACAAATCACAAAATGTTTCTTTTACGCGACCAACTGGAAGAAATATTCGAGAAGATCCAAGAGGTTTCACTCCGATTCATCAAGCCATCCCGACGTAATCGGCAAGCATACCTAAAAATCAAGGTTTTTTGGTAAAAAAAAAACGGGTAAAAAATGACAAATCGTAAAAAGTCTTAATAACAGGATCACCGGGGGTACATGCTCTACCAGATGCAACAGGTTTCATTCTGATTGGTCAAGCCATCTCGCCGTAATCGGTGAACATACCTTAATAATAATAATAATAATAATAATAATAATAATAATAATAAAACAATAATGTCGAATTGAGTAACCTCCTCCTTTTCGAAGTCGGTTAAAAAGTAGGAAACTCCGGGACAAGGACAGAGAGGACGATACAACAATTGCAGGAGAGACAAGGACAGGGTGATTAGGCTAGCATGATTTTTTTTACAGGATATTGAAGCAAAGAAGGAATATTTTCTAATAATTCTGGTTTTAATGCATTCGTTACACTTTCGTTACTATTCGTTACGCTTACTAAGGCCTGATTTTGCAATTTCGGCCTTAAAACTTTATAAATAATAAAAGTACGTTTTTTTTTGTTTACATATACTTTTCCAACATCAGGCCTTGGAGTCGCATCCGCCAAAGTGTAACGAATATATAAAAACCAAAATTATTAGAAAATATTGCTTCTTTGCTTCAATATCCTGGAAAAAAATCATGCTAGCCTAATCGCCCTGTCCTCATCTCTCCTGCAATTTTCGTATCGCCCTCTCTGTCCTTATCCCGGAGTTTCCTACTTTTTCAGCAAATGTCGCTGAAGTCAACTCGGAGTTTGGCTCTGGGTCCTGCGCACCCCTAACCAAAAATATACGTCCGTTCGCTTTGACATTCATACCAAAGAGTATTAGATAGAGTGGAAGGTCCTATAAGAGCGCTGTATAAAAAATCGTATACGAGTTTCAGTGCCCTCTGCTGAGTGGGAACCGTATTAAGCACCCCCTCCTTTCACCTCACTCCGCAAGTTGCTCCATAGTTCTATAATCCTAGAAATCTCAAATCACAAATTCGAATTCTGTGAAATTAAATCACAATAAAGACGCATACCAAACCTTTCATGCTAAAATTTATATTTTGTAATAACGTGATAAGCTAAAACATAGTGTATAAAGTGTATCATGAAAAAGTGTTGCGCGTCTTTATTGCGACAAGATTTCTGTAAAAAAGATTGAAGTTATATGATATAATGAAGTATATATAATTATGAAATATATATTACAATTAAGTAATATAAATTTATACTTACACTGAGTTATATAGTATAGTTACATTAGTTTATACTTAGAAATTATTAATACATAATAGTAAAAGTTAAGAGAGAAGTAGGATATAATAAATTATTGTACGGTATAAGCATACAATATATTCTTTAAAATATGTATACGCGATTATACAATTAAGTTTTTAAATTAATTAAAAATTAAAATTATTTGAATATTAAATGTTTTATATTTTTTCGACCCACTCGGTTTACATTCTGTTTCGCGTCGTAAATGTCGCGCCTTCCAGTGGCACCGCATTTTTAAAAAAATTATTAAAAATAATTGTGTGTGCGTGTGGCTGATCACAGAGTACTATAGGAATCGCTTGTTGTATTATGTTTGCGAAGATGCGGGTTATGTTTTTTACATGTAGCATACTATCTATACATGATTTAAACATTTACTCCCAAGACCGAATACTTTCAAAAACACTTGATTTTGGAAATATTAATCCTGCAGTGTTGCAGTCATTTTTTAATGTAGCAAATAATTTATATTCTTCGAATGAAGAGTCCTCTGTATCTATTAATTTACTTTTACAAGATTCGCAATTTACAGTATTTACACATTTTTTACACAGGAATCCCGTTATATAATAAATCGCGTTATTTTCACCAAATGACTCAACATTTGCAATACTATGTCCATCATTTAAAATGGTTTCTGGTATATCTGTTGTTTCCGTATTATGTACATTATCACTTTTAAAATTATGGATTTCGCTTAATTTTATACAAAAAGATTGCAAATCGTCGTTACAATTAGTTATTGACGAAATTTTTGATAACTGAGTAATTAATATGTGTTTTATACCATTTTCGAATTGTTGCGGAGAAGGATTGGTTACAACCATGTTGTTGCCTTATGGTGGCAAAAAGATTTTCTAAACTGTCTTGGTTTAAGCGTCGTGTTTTTAAATATGGTATATTGTATTAGGTTCGTAGTTCGTTCGAAAGTTGTACAATGCTATTTATGGTTAAAATCCATCCTTTTATACATGGGGGAACTTTCGTATTTAAAAATCGAATGGTTTCTAATTTTTTTATTATGTCTTCCAGAAATATGTTATGTTCACTATTATTTGATATTGCAAAGTTCATTTTATTTCTTGCTGTTTTCTCTTGCAGAAACTATTGCAGAAATCGAATAATTTATCCATATCAAGAATAAATTCCTCCATACCACTATTTTCCGACGGAAATTCATTTGGAAAAATTGTTTTATAGCATAGTAGTGCTGTATACACTGTTTTGCTAAATATTTGTGCCGCTAACGAAACCTTCACTTTTCTAAAATGAGGTAACTCAAAATGGCATTTCTTTAATTTGGGCACCAAATTTAAAGGCCTTTTTGAGCTACACGCATACATTTTTGAGACATCCCCGAACTTGCTATCTTTTTGAGACTGAGACTGAGGCTGAGACTGTTTAGACATTTGCCTAGATGTCCGTGGCCTGGAAGTCAAATGCTTGGCGTGGCCAGCCAAGGTCAAGGTTTTGATGAATAAGAATTATTTTAAAATGTAAGGGGGATCTTCTCACTTTTTCATATACTTGGCGTAATTTTTTTACTTTTTTGAAGATTTTTATGGGGATCTCACTTCTTTTTACAAAGATAATTTCTATAGTGAATGACTTGAAATAATAAAAAATGGGTGATCAGTTTGAATCCTTTAAGGTTTCAAAAGTACACGGAACGCATTGCAGAAGTCTCATTGCAAGAAATTTATGAAAGAAAAAATGTAATCACTTTATCAGTAACATTTACATGCAACAAGACTATCTGTCATGTGTCATGGGTACTTTTGAGAAATTAAAGGATTAAGTTTGACCTCTCTTTTTCTATATTATTGTAATACAATAAATTATGTGTTACAATTAGTGGATCTCTGTTCATTTTCTCATTATTTAAATTTCTTGCAACAAAACTTTCTGCCATACATTGTGTGTACTTTTGAAAATTCTAAGGACTGAAACCGATATTGCAATACGATTAATTGTGCATTACAAATAGTGGATTTCTTTTTTCATTTCTCGCTTTATCTTTAACATTCGAATTTCTTGCAACAAGACTTTCTTCTGCGTACTTCTGAACTTTATTCTAATACAATAAATTGTGCATTACAAATAGTTGATTTCTTTTTTTCATTTCTCACTTCATCTTTAACATTTAAATTTCTTGCAGTGAGACATCTTGCCATGCGTTCTGTATACTTTTGGAAACTTAAAGAACTGAAGCTGGTCTCTTTCCTATATCTGGCTTCAGACACATTGTGTATATTGTAGACTCTATGCTTACTATAATAAAAGATACATGTATTTTTATTTTAAGCTCTACATTAATTTGCAAGTAAAATAAGGTTTGTATGTGTTATTTACAAATAAAATTAATGTCATATGAATAACGCACAATTTATTATATTACAATACCAGATTCAGTCCCTTAAGTTTTCAAAAGCACACAGAACACATGGCAGAAAGTCTTGTTGTAATAAACTAAAATGGAAAAATGAAGTATGAAATGGAAAAAGAGGTCCACTATTTCTAACCCACAATTTATTATATTATAATACCAGTTTCAGTCTTTTA